TATCCTCTCCCTACATTATTCTGGTAAATAAATGGTTGTATAGAGCAAACTAAGCCTTCCGCGTCTAATTTTTTTATTTATGGTCAATGAAAACTATCTCTTCTACTATCCATCAATAGGTACTCGCTGGCTCAACTGTGGTATACAAATATTAAAGCAGTTTATAACTATATTCATTTATTGGAATCTTTCCCAAAAGCCTTTAGTTTATGTTAGTCTCTTTTTCATCTCCACTTTTTGCATTTTTTGGCAACTATCGTTTGATCCACTGCTTTAAATGTCTAGCCATATATATAGCGCATGCTACTCATGTCGACACAAGTAATATATAACAGTAACCAGAAGTGGGATGCATAGCAGGAAACGGTTGGGATGATCGAATCGAAGAGAATGGGAACAGAAAGTACTAGTTATGGCACTGAATAAACAATGAAGCTTGAGACAAAAGTACGTTAAAGCCACATCTGAAAAAGTTGATTTTTATAGAATCTATTTATATCGACTAATAATCAGATTCGGGTAAGTTAAACTGTGTAGCACTTATCACTGATCAGTCAATAACTTACAATGTGGCCAGTTAGCCATAGATAAGATAGAACTCAGAATATATGTACATCAATCCAACTTGCCACACCACAACGGGACAACAATATAAAATCATCAAGAATGATGTCAAAGCAGTAGCACTACCAATAATATTGATTATGTATTGAAAACGTGATATATGAAGCGAAAATGAATTCATGGGATAAAAGGTACAAAAGATAATTTTGGAACTGAGGTTCTAGAGTTAGTCGGAGAACGCATCTGAACCACTAGGATCGTTTCTCACCCGGTCAAAGTCTTCAACCATTGGCTACGATAATCTAGAGGATTCTAATCAAGTAATCTTCATCTACTAACAAGGGTTAGACCAACAGTTAATAACTTTGTGGATTGATAGTACGTATGGGTTTTTTCCCCTAGTTTCTTAAGTCAACCAAGATCTCAAGTCAAAGTGGGCAATAGTAAGTCATACGTAAAATATATCCTGGCAACCTCAGTCGATGAAAGTTTAGTCTCATAAAGTGATTTACGAACTACCTTAAACCCAATTTCTAAACTCTTCACTCATTAGTTCCAAGGCACACGAAGAGTGCTTCTAAGAAACCTATGACCAGATAATAGTAAACTCCGAATGCCGTGTGCTCTTAACGACCACCAAGAAAAACAAAGCGATCTACTGATAAGTTTGTTGGTCCTTTTTTGACAGATGTACATTTCATCTTCACCACAGTTGATGTAGTTTGCCAGAAGCCAAACGAGCATTTTGAGTCCATGGAAAGATTTTGTCAGGAAATTCACAATAAATGAAGTGATTGACACCTTATCATTAGTCTTCGCCTGTATAAATAATTTAAGAATGATTTACAAACGAAATTCTACAAATTAAGTGTAAAACTGACTAGTTATATATTTCCTTCTTCCGAATACCTTCCCCCTTTTATTTAGAATTTATCAGAATAGGTTCGCAGTGGACCAACTGGAGTGGCCGTTGTCACACATTTTAAAAAGAATATGACATTTTATAAATAAATTGGTTATATAAACGAAGTAATTTCAAATGAGACTGTGTAAAAAAAACCAAATTTATTTTATTTCTCGTTATTTTCTATACTATTCTGAGATATTTTCAAACTAAGAAAATACCCATGATAGTTATTGCACAATTCAGTGAATTCGCGTTTGTTTCTTCAACTTATCAATAAAAAGTACACGCAAAGATTTTGAAATTTACAATCTTCATTCTCTGAACAATAAGTGCAAAAAGAAAAAATATCGTGTACGTACAGTAACAGGGAACTATTGACTTAAGACAGTTGCAATAATTATCATATCTCATTCTGATAACGTACAAAGATAACACTGTTGTATATAGTAGACCATCAATAATTTGAAATGTTCAATATAATGAAATGATAGAAAACAATAACAATTATCTAGAAAAAGTAATTCAAAAACCATCTTCATAAAGATTTACTGTGATAAGATAATAAATTATAAATTCCAAAGGAAGTACTTAAAACAAAAAAGTTGAAGTCATAGTACAGTAATGTCTGAGTTTAAATCTGATGTGTTTATCATTCACTTATTGATTTGCACCTTCAGTTTGATGAAATTCTACTCCCTCACAATTGTACATCCTTTCCTACGTATATATATATATACGCATCCCATCACTTATGAATTGCAAAATGATGGAAGTATAGCCACTACAGAAATTCCTCTGTTAAACACATAATGAAATTTCTATAAGTGAAGAAACTTATAATGATAAAAATAGTGATAATTACAAACTTTGTCAACAATTTTAACATTTCGATGCACTTTAAGGATGCCACACTTCACTACAAAAAAAATCACAAATAATAGGCAGTATAATAGTTACTCTGACTGTTTGTGCTAATTTAATTAATTCAAGCAAAATATTCATCGTAAACTGATAAGAACTTGAAAATTATATATTAGAAAAACGTATTTTGTGTGATGAGAAAAAAATTAGTTATGTGTACTAACATAAGTCTTGAACCTTATATTTTATTTAGTGGTCTAACTTACAAATTAAGCCAGTCAGATTGTCTGACATCCGTATGATATAGAAAATCAGTTATGATGTCAGGTGGTTAGAAATGATTGGGGGAAAAGTCTAAGATTCCCATCCGAGTTACATATGCGGCGCATCAATTCCCTAAAGAGTATCGTTATATCTTAATGACGAGTACCAACCAGTACAAAACCCAGACAGAATTTCCCGCTTATTAATTACAATCATATAAAATCAAAACTTATTAAGTGAATCAGACTAACCGACACATGACAATATAGTCGATAAAATCCAATGAAAAACCAAGGACTAGATAAACAAGAAAATAGTTACTAAACAACGATCAATCAGTGCAGAAAGTCAGTTGACCTAACCTTTTAGACACAATGAGACTACACATGACAAAATGCCCACCCTTTTCGTCTACATGAACACTACTAAGCCATCAGACACCATGACATTAGTTTCTCTGATATCCATGTATTTGAACAATTATGGATATGAGTTAGAATGGGAAAAAGTAGAAATGTTGAAAAAAAGTACAAATAAATGCCTGAAAATTTTTAGAAGCTTCAATCATTAGAAATCGACCGAATCTATCAGCCAATAAGATAAATAATTAAAAACTGCAAGGCCAGAGAGGAAACAATCATAACAACATAAAAACAACGATCACGAAGTAATGGATAATAAAACAACTAACTTCCAGATCAATAAAAGCTAATAGTCAATTGTGAAGAGATTCTTACAGCTCACTTCTTATTGAGGTACGTACTGATGATATTGCCCAGAGGGACAGAGAAGGTCCCACAACTGAACCACATAAAACACATCAACACAATCACAGTTTCTTGTTCATCTGCCTTTCAAGTCTTTTCAATGTAAACACATGTTCTGGTATTGCAAACTCATAAACATATGAGTTATACCAGTCAACAACGGTCAATTTCAACTAAGATTCTCACACGCATCACTGTACTGGATAAAGACAATGACCGGAAATTTTTTCGAGCGAGTAAACAAAATTATTGACTATAAGGGAAATCAAGAAAACACTGTTGTAACTGTGAAAAGTGTAATTCAAAGTCATAATACACATTTCATAAACAGTGAAAATATTAGGCTATATGACGATATTTTATTGAAGGAAAAAGACCTCATTTACTTACAAAGGAAAGAAATCCAAGAGCCTAATACAATGCTTTTCCATAAAACAGTAACTAGAGAGATGGGAAATCTTCCAAAAACAATGGATATTATCAGAATTCAAAAATATACGACGAATGAGAAACACTGAAACTGACTTACTGGCAAAGTATTCACTACTGATATCAGAAAAGTCAGTGTAAAAATCAATAAAACATGTTAAGCATGAAATACAAACAATTGAAAATCAAATTTCTTAACTTATTTCAATTTTTATTTCCTTTTTTATCCACAGTTTAGACTAAAACCACTAACTTAGCAATACTTCAAAAAATTTAGTGTCTAGCACTAAGTCCCACAACCCAGTCTCTTAGTGGCTATGAAGATGGAAGACAATGAGCAGATTTCAAGTATTTGAATTTATCTGCTTTAAAACTATTGCCCGCTTACGGTGGGACCACAAAGTATGCAATATTGAAGCTATGTATGTGCTTTTAAAAATAAATTATGTGATGATGGATGAGGCTATGAATCCTCGTTAACACTAGTAGTCAAAACGTATTGTGCATACTTTTGTGAACTGTAACCACGTGCATCAATAGACATCCGTGTTAGGAATTAAGTAGTTTATGAATCATTGATTGGATTGTGTTATCTCCATCTGAATGTTCTTCGATGATGATATCCGACATTATTAAAAAATAAGTACCTAAAAAGTTGTTCCAAAATGTGCACAGAACCTCAACCCTTCAGCTCAAAACTAAGTGACGTACGCATAGAGAGTGTAAGCCAACAATTTATGATATTCTGTTACAAAATTAAATGTAGGTTGACCAGATTTTCAAAATAAACGGATTAAACAGAGCCAATTCAAGACGATTTATCAGACAACTTTACGAACAAACTGAATTCTTTTTTTGGAAAAGCAAGATATTGTAATGATAATTTTAATCATCATTAGCTTTGACAACAGATGACGCATATCAAACCAACTACTTAGATATTGATACAACTCATGCTTTACAGTTATCATTTAAGGAAAGTGAAAAAAATAAAATCCACGTTCAATACATGACTTAACGTCTCTATAAATTAGTATTGAATAGAGTGCAAAACTTAATAAAAATGATGCATTTAACAAGAAATTTAATTGGGAAGCAAATCATAGGGAGAAAAACTGTACTCATTTACTGTACACAATACTATGAGTCTAAGTATAGTAATAGAGGCATATCTACATGAAATTTTCCAATTTGATAAATACAAAGAATCACAAATTTTGACATTTTAAATTCAGTAAGTTATCTGTAATCGATGAAGAAGATTCAGGTTTATCGACCTGGATATCACCACGTTCTAGAGGAATTTTCTTTTCAGTAGTGTTCGGTTTCAAAGATTCGCAGTGAGGGATTGAACGTGCTGAATTTGGACGTCTAACAACACCCAAATCAGATGGAACGCGCCGAGGAGTATTGACTTTAGGAAGAGGAGAACATGTCTGCCCACCAATACGAGCAGTGCCAGTTGAAGGTCGGCTGTTTGGTTCGTTATTTATAATCGATGAGCTGGAAGCGAGTAAACGAAGAGCAGCAGGAGAGAGTAGCGACCGTGACGGACTACAAAATAAGTGAAATGTGAAATCATTTAAAAAGTCTGAATATAAAAATTCAGAAATTAATATAAAACACTTAACATTCTAATAGAATTAGAAATAGCATTTCAATAAATAAAATGTTATTTATTCAGCTGACAAAGGGAATTTTGCATCAACATTGATTTGACATGGCTAAACAAGTCTGGTTTATCAATAGTTTCCTAATATAAAATAATTTATGTGGACTGCAATCAAACGATAATATATTAAACTGATAGATATAAATAAGGTTACACTAATTTAGCCCTGACCGTTGCTGCTACCTTGACGTGGTGGTCGGGCTTGCCTATCGTGATGATCCAATCGAGCTATGCTGGCTGCAACAATCGTTCCTCAAGGTCCTACCATGCCAGACAGGTCGGTTGAAGAGCGGTGAGACTAAAAGCAGCAATCCCAAGGTCCGAAGGCGAAGTCGTACTGCTGACTGTACAGAGGTGTGACGGCAGTAAGGTGTTTCCTTCAGACAACCAGCATGACAGCGATGCTGCCTTCCCACAAGGAGGGGTGGGGTTAGAAAAGGTTGACCCTAAAAATGCACACCTCGTCTTATCCCACGGATTTCCGTCTCCGGCGGTAAGGACCTTTGAAGAACGGAGCTAACACGTCAAAAATCCCCCACAAAAAGGCCGTGCGTGACCGGCCTCAAGCAGTTGTCCCTTGGGCACTGCGGTCACGCTCCCAGGTCGTTATGACCAACACTAATCCAACTTCCTTTTCAGGTCCCTCAAGAAATACCCTTCCACGGTGTGGGCAGCCGGGAAGTGATATTAGCCCTCATACCCATAACTGCACACGAGACCAAATTGGTCACTTTCAAATCCCTCCTACACCTAATAACTCTCTTATCTCCACGACTTACCCTTCCCACGTCCTTTTATCACCTCGCACAGCTAGGGCAAACGATTCGAGTACACAGAACGTTATTCCTGGTCTCCTGAAACCACGCTCTAAACTACATGTAGGAACTTTTAATGTCCGAACATTGTGCCAAATAGGACAACAGGCTTCCTTAGCTAAGACTCTAGAATCTTACACCATCGATGTATGCTGTGTCTCCGAAATGCGCATACAAGATCCGAGTAGCGTCATTCATTTGACCTCACCTCGTCAAAATAAAGAACCATCTCGATACACGCTTCGTGTATGTTGAAGCCCTGATGCTGCTTCCCGTGGCCTCGCTGGTGTGGTTATAGCATAGAGTCTCAGGGCAGAACTAGCTCTTTTAGACTGGATCCCAGTAAACAGTCGTCTATGCGCTGTCCGACTAAACGGATCAGTAAGGATTCGGAAATATAGGGAAACTCGTCGTTGCCTCTTCGTCGTCACTGCCTACTCTCCCACTGACTGCAGCTCAGACGATATAAAAGATGAGTTTTACAGGAAACTTTCTGACCTTCTCCGAGAAGCTAGGCGTTCTGATGTAGTAATAGTAGCAGGTGACTTTAATGCTCAAGTAGGTAAACTAAGTGAAAGGGAAAGACACCTGGGTGGATCTTATGGTGTTGTGGCGAAAAGAACAGATAATGGCGACCGTCTGTTGCAGCTATGCTCAGATAACCGCCTATTTCTTGCAAATACTAACTTTAAGCATAAGGAAAAACATCTTTTGACATGGCGACCCCCGAATTCGTCCCAACGTTGGACCCAATTAGATCACATCGCTATCAGCCACCGATGGAGGGGCTCAATAGAAGACTGTCGCTCATTCTGGAGCACACGTTTAGATTCAGATCATGCTCTAGTGCGAGCACGTATCTGTCTGCGTCTTACTGGACGTAAGAAAGACACTGTAGGTAAGCCTCAAAGGGTTCTACTTAATGATAGGCAAGCTAAAAAAGTATTTCAGGAACAACTGAAAAAACAGTTAGGCAGACATGTAAGTTGTGACTACCCCGAGACAGCGTGGAATGACATCCGAAAAGCTGTAGAAACAGCAGTGATATCCACTAGTAAGGTAAACCATAAGGTCAGGTAGAAACACTGGATCTCAGCAGCATCTACCGCACTGATAGATGCTCGAAAACTAATCCCACCTGGCTCTGAACATAACGAAGAGCGGAGTCAGCTTAAGCGCAGGCTAATAAGAAGCCTACGCAATGATCGTGAACAGTGGTGGGTAGCGAAAGCAAGAGAGATGGAAAAGGCAGCGGCAATAGGTAACGGTGGGCAGCTATTCAGACTCGATGGGCAGAACACTTTAGGGATCAATTCAACTGGCCTTCAGCCACACTTCAGTTACCCACGATCCCCAGTCGTCTTGAATGGCAAATTGAGGTAAGTCCTCCAACTCCCTACGAGGTTGAAAAACCTATAGGAAATCTGAAGCGAGGGAGAGCCGCAGGCCCCGACAGATTTACCCCTGAGATTTTTAAGGATGGTAGTCCAGTACTAGAAACGAGATTGACTGAGGTCTTAGGTAGAATCTGGTAACTAAACGTAATTCCATCTGACTGGTACAATCACTGATTGTGCCAGCCTATAAGAAAGGACGAAAGTCCTCCTGTGACAATCACAGAGGGATCAGCTTGACTAATATAGTGTCTAAAATATTAGCTTTAATAATACTTAAGCGCCTAACCATAGCTCGTGAAGAGCAGACTAGAGAAAACCAGGCTGCTTTTCGACCTGGACGTGGTTGCATAGACCAGATATTCACTCTACGTCAGGTCCTAGAACATAGACATACATTCAGACGTCCCACAATAGTAGTATTTCTTGACCTTAAGGCGGCATTCGACTCAGTTGATCGTGAGGTCCTATGGCAATGTTTGTCAGTGAAAAGAGTACCAGAGAAGTAAATTAACCTCATAAAGGCTCTATACTCGAACACAACTGGTCGAGTTAGAGCCTATGACGAACTGTCATCAGAACTGATTACCTCAAGTGGTGTTCGTCAGGGCTGTCCACTCTCCCCATTCTTGTTTAACTTTGTCGTTGACATACTTTTAGAGATAACACTCTCATCAGCTAAACCTCCAGAAGTAGAACATTTGCCGGGAGGCTCACTTGTTGACTTAGAATACGCCGACGACATAGTTTCACTTGGTGAGGACGCTGACAACATGCAGAGTCTTCTGACCACTATAAGCAACTATGCAGGCATGTTCGGGATGCGATTATCTCCCTCGAAATGCAAAATGTTACTTCAAGATTGGGTTGCAGCGACACCTGAACTAATGATAGAGAGTGAAGTAGCTGGGCGTGTCGACCGCTTCACTTATCTTGAGAGTCTCATCAACCATTGTGGTCTGGTGTGTGACAAAACTTCAGCACGGATACAGAAGGTTCGTCTAGCTTTCGCCAACTTGCGTCATCTATGGCGCAGGCGAGATATCCATTTAGCAACCAAAAGACGTGTTTACTGTGCAGCAGTTCGTTCCGTCCTACTTTATGGCAGTGAAACATGGCCGATAAGAGTAGAGGATATTCGTAGGCTGCTAGTATTCGATCATAGGTGTCTCCGAAGCATTGCTCGTATATCCTGGGACCACCAGGTAAGTAATGCAGTTATTAGGAAACGGGTACTAGGTAAGGGTGGCAAATCGATTGATGAAGTATTGAAACTTCATCAGCTGAGATGGCTATGACACGTGTTACGTATGCCCAATCACCGACTACCCAGACCTGCAATGTTTCATGGTGTAGGAGTAGGTTGGAAGAAAGCTAGGGGTGGCCAGACCAAAACGTGGCAAAAATCCATGAAGTCACTGACAATCGGACTGAGCCACATTTGTAGGTGTAGACTACCTGGTTGGGACTCGCGAGATGATAGCAATCGATGGTTAGAGACCTTGAATGACATGGCTCAAAATCGTTTGCAATGGCGAAGGTGCATCCACTCTTTATGTTCTGCAAACTTCTAATCTTCTGAATTTCTCATGTCTCTATCTTTTTCTCTTTCCAAATTTATTTCACTGTATTATACTCCTTCAATAACTTCTTCAAACCCTAATCTTTCACATAATGCTTATACTCTTACTACTTCTTCCACTAATGGATTTGAATCAACAACTTCATCTCTGTGCAAATGTGGTATGGCAACTCGAACTGATGTACGTACGTACGAAGTTCTACGTTGTGAATGACTGACTGACTAACACTAATTTAGCCATCGTACAAATAATGACTTATGAATTATTAACATATTTAACTGAGAAAATAGAACCGAACTAAAATTCGTGCATCGAATGCAAAAGATCAGTCTTATAAATGTGCCGAAATACTCCAACTATGTAGAGTGACACATCAGAGTAGCACAAATAATTTGTTATCACGACATAGTAATGTAGAACGATTGTATCTCTTCATAGATTTACTTATTTGTGAGATCATTCCGTGAGGGAGAGCGGATTTTCCTCACCCTCGGCTGTACCAGGACATTGGGAAGCTGATTAAATTGTTTAGTCATGATAGGAAGATGAATGTTTTTGATCTTTTTGTTCCATCGTTTATCATGTCTGATTTGTTGACTTTCCATGTGACATAACATAATCATATTTTTTTGTTAACGTTAAGCTAACAATATTGACCACCGTGAAAAATGATTGTCGTAATTTAAAGAACTTCTGGGCTTAACTGTTACATATTGATATGCATCTTCTAGTCCGAGAGGTCCCCAAAAACCATGGTACGGCAGAGGGTGGGAACGATCCGCTCACCCTATCGAAATACTCTCACATGGCCACGCTTATGCAGACACTGTCAGGAAAGCTATACTCACTGCCTTCTCGCAGCCGGGCTGTTGTTTACGAAATTCAGGGAACGAAAAGCGAATGTCCGGCACTTTAACCGGGTTGGTGGGTACAGAGGATCCACCTAGGGAGTTGGAAAACCCTGATTCCAAACCAATGGTTCACATGGGCTCCAGGATCCTGAGGGAACAAAAGGGGCATGAACCTACTGTTGGTTACCGACTACCATGGGATAAGTCTACTTTCGATTGCGTTCAAACTATTGGCTTTT